GGCTGGCAAGGATCGTTCATGTCGGGTTAATGGCAGTGTCTGGGCAAGAAGTCAGTTCTGAGATTTTGTGCCTACCCGGGCATACTCGCTGTGCTAAACTCGAAAATCCACACTGGAGAGCGCGAAAAGGGCGAAGAAGGGCACTAACCCAGCAGGGAAAACAGCAGGTGTGCTCTTTCCCACTGTTAATCCACGCTTCCAGCTTCCTGAGCGATCTTCTCGGTTCTGATCTCAAGTCAAGCGTTCGCACTTGGCCGGTGGCGGTGTCAGGGCTGCTAGCGGAATGAGAAGATCGTTCTGGAAGTGAGAGCGTGAATTCACAGTGGGAAAGACCCCGCCCACCTGTTGGTCCCCGTATTATGTCAGAGCCGTTTTTAGCGGTTTTGCGCCATTTCACCTCAATAGTGCCTGCGCTGGACTAGTGTGAGAAATTGGGAGTATGAACAAAAAGCCAGCTTGTGTCTTATTATTTGCTTCGTTTCCCTATATGCCCATTTGCACAACTATTAAGATCATTTAAGGTCCGTTTTCACCCCTCTGTAGATGGCTTGAGTCGCTTGGACCAGCACGTTGCCACTGCGGCTACCAGAGACGGTCTGAAGGTGCTTACCTTCATAATAAAATCTTTGCTGATGCATGCATGAATTTAGTTTCTGGACGCTTTGTTAGAAGGCAGCGACTGGACACGTCATGAGGTGAAGCCTGTCGATCCTCGCATTGGTTACCTTGAGAGGATAGCTCATTTTCTGCATACGCGCGAGCCTACGGTCTCTTTCAACTGTCGAAGGTAAAAAGTTTACATGGTCATCAATAGTATGCTGTATGACAAGTTTTAATTTATAGTTTGGACCTCATTTGGTCGCTTCATCCGGAATCACATTCGAACGGGAAACTCGACAAGTTCCTAGCGGATGTTCGTTGTTCGCTTCACAATCACTCCATTGCAACCGCGATAATTGCGAAAGTACAAACGGAACCCAGTAAGTAGAATTGTCAATTCTTGCGATGTAAACAAAGTATAGTGTGGATAACACTTGCATAGTTACGCCATCCGAATGTTTCAGGTAAAACAGGTGCTGTTGGTCAGCAAGTAGAAGTGCTTTTCAATAAGAATGAACTCGTATGGCCGCTATTGCGGTTGTCTTTACCGAAGGACTCGGATTATTTACTAGCTGGTACGATAGAGGATTGCTGGCAGGTATCGTTATGGTTTTACGTGCATTATGAGATAAAAGGGAGCAGAAAAGGAGAAGTACTGATTGCAATATTTGTTTAAGTATAAATTGTGTTAGAATTTGATAACAATTGCTTACATTTTTTATTCTCGCGCGTTTGTATCTTTTGATATAATGGAATAGGCGGCTGGAAAGGCTATCGCTCGCACCCGCGCCGCATCTGCGTCTCTCCCGC